ATTTATGACCTTCACAGGTCTGAAAAGCAAAGGAAAGCTGAAGTAAGATCATAAGCACAGTGGCGGTTTCACTTAGCAACTGTTTCACCTGATGACCAAGTTGTCGGTACCAATTATGGTTGCTAAACAAGGACTACCTATACATTATTACTACTGAATTTACTGTGTGTGGTACATTTATTTATGTATCATATGTGGCACTGTTTCTGTATCTTTCTGCCAATATCCGTGAAAGTATAATGTATTTCCCATATCCTCTGCATGCCATCTGTCCTGTGTCATGTGTATGGTATAAAGGAAAAAATATTTGCAAAAATATACAAACAACAGTTGCATAACTGAGTATGTTGTAATTTATGACTTTTTTTAAAAAAAAAAGGGACTTATTTTCAATTAAAATAGGGTATGAAAGATCTATAAAAAGCATGCTATTTGAATATTCAACTAAATAGGAGCTCAGAATTATACAACTTATGCCATGGAATACTCAATATGACTTTAAATTAACAAACAAAAATGGGATTATATGATATGCTAATAATGTGTTTTGACAGCTAGTTTGGTGTAGTGGTTAAAGGCATTGGACTAGAATGTGGGAAGCTATGATTTTTGTCCTGCCAAATGGGTGCCTCTGGGACTTTCATATCCTCTCAGCCCTAGAAAGGCACCTATGGCAAACCATTTCTCAAATGTTGTCAAGAAAACTGCATGGACTTCTCCATGTAGTTGCCAGGAATAAAAAATGACTCAAAGGCATGTGTGCATGGGCACAAAGTATTTTAAGGAATAAGTCATAGTACATTAAAACTCAACTCAGTGAGAAAATGTTTATCCACTGCCAATGTATTCAGCATATTTGTCTGTTCCATCATAAATCAAAACACAAACATTGGTGTGTAGAAACTTCACAGATATAAGTGTTTTTTTTCTGAGACTGTAGGATATTACAAAGAAATCATTTAGATGAAAAAAAAATGGAATATTGCTGCAATTGCACTAGTGCCACACTATTTCTTTAGGGGTTTAATGCAGAGTTTCAACTATTTTTGGAGAGAGATAAACAAAACTCAGAAGCCATATGTTTGTATCAACTTGCTGTCACTATTTGAGGGTGTAGGTGTAGAGACCTAGTAGGTTTATTTGCTATTTCCACATGCTTTCAGGTATAACACCAACTGTGTGTGAGGTTCAAATTAGAAACATTTACAAGTTGGCTAGTGGAGATAGGAGAGGAAGGAAAAGAATGAATTATTTTTAGGATGATAAGAAGCATTTCAGCTCATGTCATACCATGCCAACTAAAATGCCTTGTATAGGCAATGAGCCTCTAGCTGAAACCAGCATGGATGTATATGGATTGATACTGTTCTTACCCAATAGAGTTAACAAACCAAAAGGTCAGATATATTGTATTGCCAGCCCATACATAATTCAGTGCTTTTAGATAGCTGAATAAGCTGATGCTGAAAACACCACAGGAGCTACAGTGTTTATTCACTGCTGCTTGGTGTTAGTTTATCTGTAACAAAAGAAACTTATGACCTTACCACTGGTCTACTCCAGAGGAAAAAAGTAGGTGCCAGAGGTCAGGAAGATCCAGAGCCAAAGGCATAACACTACTAAACTTACAAAGGTTCATCTACTGCTGATTCAATGAAAAGAGACTCAAAGCTCAGTACAGAAGGGAAACAAACCTTTTTAAAAGTCTGAAAGTCTCAGATAACTGCCCTGCCATTGTTTTACGTTTTTTCATGCCTCTACACTTCCTGGTTCTGCCTGGGACCAGATGTGTCAGAATACTTTAATAAAGAGTGTTGTCATAACTCAGCAAGAAGCAGGAAACACAGGTAATCTTGTAAGCAGAAATAAAATTCTCAAATTTAAAACATCTGCATATATTTTCATTAGAACTAACATTTCTAAAATAGCCACTTTGCCTTTCAACCAATCAATTAATCTAGCACTTCTCATGAATAAAATTGATGATTTTACTATCATAACATGCCTGCAATTTCAATATTTATTACAGCATGCTGTTTTTTCTGAAACTATATTAAAGGGTAGGTGCAATAAAAGTACAACATCCCTGTTTTCAACACAATGTGGACCAGGATAGATAGGTGGCATAGGGAAATTATTTCCTCTGACCTGTTTATGTTCAAAATTGTGGAACAGGAATAGCCTGTTTTTGGAGGGGAAAAAGGGGGGGGGGATCGAAATACAACATAAAAGGAGACCTCTGGATCAAATAAAAGTCCTCTGTAATCCAGCATTCGGTGTTATATGTCCAACAAGATTTATTTCAATGGCACTTAAGCAGAAAATAAAGCCATATCTCTATCCTAATGTTCATCCCTACTATAACGGTGCCTCTGAACTTATAGGCTGCAGTTATGGCTAGTCGTTATGATTAATAAGCAGTACGTAACACTTCTACTTATCTTGAATCTGTTGAGCTCATCCTAAAGGCAACTAAGCTAGGGACTATCACCACACTTACATGTAGTGAAACCTATAGGCTATCTTGCTTATCTGAAACATTGCTCAAAATAGTACTCCTTGAGATATACCTGAATTAAAGGGAATGGCATGACCCACAGCACTATTTCAGACACGTTCATTTGGGATCATAAGCCTTCATGCTGTATCAGAAACGGCTTTTTGAGAGATCCCTCAGTTTCAAAACCAATATGCTGGGTCAAGTGAGGAACTACTGCTTAAAAAAATAAAACTTAATTTTTATTAAGTTTCACTTGTTACACTTGATACACAGTGGAGTTGCTCAAATCTCTGGAATGTTGACATTTCACAATCAAATTAAGAAGTTTTTGGTAAATTTTCATTAACTTCAATTATAATGGTATGCAATTATATGAAAAAACATATGCGTGTATATTCCATTATGATTGGGAAAAATTATAAGCTATTGGACACAGGATCAAGATAGAAGAGTCCTTGGACTTGGGCTAAACCTGGGCTAAATTACAATCAGAAAACAGAAACAGAATCCCATGCATGCACTTGGTCAAATCACCTTGTATCGAAACAAATATTGTTTCATTTGAAAATACGTAAAATAGTTTTTATTTTACACAGCTAAGATACAAAGGAATAATGTTACTATGTTAACTTGCCAATGTATCAGTGAGTAGTTTTTTCATAGATAAAATCAAAATATAGGACAGATGTTTGAGAAACCACATTTAAGGGTTGTCATACACTAATTTCAAGTAGTATCGGCTCATCTATTAAATAAGGTGCATTTTGTTAAATTTGGAGAAAAGGAAACATCAGGAAATATTTAAAGGCCAATTGCTGCCAATTAACTTTGATCAACAAAAGTTGTATGTGAATCATAGGGATTCTTTTGCCTGCCTAGAATAACATATATTTATACTTTCTAACAAAACAATACTGTGATGATTAATGCTGATTGGCAATTCTCCCCAAACTTGCTTAGTGGTTCAGTTTTAAACAAACAGCTGCCTTTATTATGAAGGAAGCAAAATCTGACTCTTTTTATCTATGTTTGATATTTTGTGAAAATATCAAAAAGTCTGTCTTTCCATTGTTAAATGAAAGAAACTACTGAGTTAGAAACTACTCTTCATAACCAAGGGAGTTTAAAAAAAAAAAAAAAGTATCAGGACCAAAGATTTTAGGCTTTTGATATGGTTCTATGAAGTCTGACAACTAACTGGTAGAATTTCCTACAGTTCATGCAAAAGGCCTATTTATATTTATCATTCACATAAACAGTGTGAGCTGAAACAGTTATCATCACTTACTAATAAGGTATGAAGTGGTTATTCAGGTGCCATTGTATTATTATTGTGCTGTTGTTATTATTTGTTCTTGTTTTGTTTTGTTTTTATCTTGTATTGGCCGCCCAGACATGAAATTGTGAGACAGATGGCTATGTAAATCAATATAATCAATAAAATATATTTCACAGCAAAATACGCCACCCAAGAGATGCATGACTAATAAAAATAGCATAGTACAGTTTAGTGCTAATGGAGAAGGCAGAAACACGAGTTTAAAATAGGCAATTAACATATGCAATATTAGTGAATTCAATTGCATATGAATATGCAACAATTGAATATAATTGCAATATAGTTTCTCACTCTGATTTCTAACAGAGCAAATGACCTATTTAAATAATTATTAAGAAAATAATATGCTTTCATGCTCAATAACTATCATATAGGATCACATTCTGATTTGAAATTTAGTCAAAATGGTAAAATCTTAATAACACTAAAGGAAACTATGATGACAACCAAAATTTCCAACAGTTTTTTCAGGTATTATAAGCACTAAACACTGAAGTAACAAATGATAATTTATGTTTTTGAGAGAATATATATTCGTACAACAGTAGATAAAGCTTAGGTTTATTTAAATAGATAAGAAAATTTGTTGGGTGGGTTGAGCAGAGATTATGAGGCAGAGGACTTATCACTTCCTAAATTCGGAGGTCCCTATTTTCCCTCACATTGATATCCCATGATGGAAAATGAATATGGAAGGCCCAGTTTAGCATGTATACGGTATGGATATAGCTTTGTAAGCCCCATACATGAATACATCACAGGAACAAAGTGTGTAATCATTGTAGGGAAGGGATTATTTGTGGAGAGACACCAACATCAAGGGATGGAAGAATTATACCTATTTCAACTTATGCTGTCATCCTGGAGTTCAATGGACAGCTACTGGAAGCTAGTGGTAAAAGGCTGACTAGATAGTGGGTGGTAGCACCTAAAATATTAGCTAGCTACACCTAGCTGTCCTTAGCTGATCTTGAAAAACTAAGCAGACAGAGAGTACCATGAAATCAGTGTAAATAAGCTGATAAAGAAGGACTCCAGAGCACTAATCATTCTGCCATTGTAAGTCCTTCCATTGAAAGTAGTGGTCGCTCAGCCATTATTTAGCCTACAAAATCAAAACTTTCAAAAAGTCTGCGTCCCATTCAAATAATAATTACTTACTTCTAAATCATTAAAGAATAGATGTGTGTCTGCCAAGTTGAAAATCATCTCCTCCATCCTTAGTCCCAGTGAAACAGAAGTAGGGGGGTCCTCAAAAAAGAAAAGAAACAAAGGAAAAAAATTAGACTTATTAGAGAAAAGAAGCTAAATTGCTATGGTTAAAAAATGCCTTGAGTGGGAGGAGGACTTTTATGAGCCCAAAACAGTGTTCTAGGAAGTATTTTCAATTACAAATTATGCAACAAAAATAATAAAAAGATAAATAATAATACAACTACCATATACTATGGTAACAAGGAAAAGCAATATATATATATATAATAGATATAAAATTCATAGTTTAATACCTAGGGACATAAATATATATTTCCCTGGTTCTGAAATTTGAGTATGCACATGCCAAGCATCCCTAGGAAAAGTATTCATAAATAACTGTGATGAAAATGCAGTTATTTATGTTTACTAAGAAGTACACCTTATGGAGTTCAATAGAACTGATTCCCAAATATGTATAATAAGCTGTACTGAATTTAGGGAGATCTACTTTTGAGTAGACATATATAACATGCCTCAACAGTTTGCAGCACATAGCCTACTTTGGCTGTATTCAGAAGCTAAACTGGATTCATCAACCCTGGCTAGTACTTGAATGGAGGACCACCAGGGAAATTGGAAACAATGCTGCAGAAGAAAACATTGGCAAACAACTTCTCTAACAATGCCAAGACAACAGCAATGATGCAGTCAATCTCAACTTGACAGTGTCTTTATCATTACATAGGTTGGTTCATTAACACACTGTGTATATATATATATTATCTCTTATATCACATGGCTAAAACTAAAGGATCGTGTTAAGATCTAACCCAATTTATGATTATGGATGGGACAGTGGGGACCAAGTAGTCTACCGAGTGAACAATTGAAGGTGGAAAGGAATGGGGGGAATACCTCACTCACACCAAGCAAGAACTCTACGTTGGTTACAGGAGAGATTCATTGCTTCTTACAAAGATTTTCCCTTAATTTTATAGATTTTTGTCCACATTGCAGTTTCCATAACTTCAGGAATGTTTCATCAAGCTGAGAAAATGTATGTTTTTATAGCAAATAGTGATGCATTGTATATTAATTCTTAAAGATTTTTTTTCCTAAACCCAGAAGAGATAATCCAAGTATCATGGAAAGCTAAACTATTGGAAAGCATGAATAGTGTTATTAATCTTTCACTGGATTTTCCATTGGAGGGGAAAATGAAATGCTATTTTTTTCCAGTTTCTTATTCTTAAGAGTTGCATAGTGCTGGACAGTAGGGGAAAAAAAAAAGATTACAGGAAATTGGGGATGGGTAAGGTAGAAGGATCTGACTGTATTTTCAGCAACATTAGAGGACTATAAAGAGGAGCTCATGATAGTTATGTAGTGCTTAATATACCATATTTTGAAACAAATTATATACAGAGTCCAGTAGCATCTTCAAATATAACCAACTTTATTGGGGTGTAGGTTTCACAAGCAGCATCTGATGAAGTGAGCTGCTGCTCACAAAAGCTTATATTTCACTAAAGTTGGTGACTCCTGAAGGTGCTTCAGGACTCTGTGTCTATTTTGATCCCAGAGACTAATATGGATCTTCCCCACCCATCCTTATGCTGAAAATCGCATTTTTTTTAATGCAAGTTTTTCCAAATATCTAAGCCTGTTCTATTAATTATTTATAAAACCTGATCCTGTGAGCATTGAGGGGCTGTCCATGATCAAAACCAATAAAGAATGTAAGGATATTTCCTTAAAATTTTTTTGAATGCTGCTTTCAAATTATTTATAGAGACATGCTGTTCTTTCAAAGGGCAAGAGAAATAACAACATAACAAAATGCAGTACAGTCAACTATAAAGTAGCTGTATGCTTCTTTAAAACTCTTGCAGTGACAAATCCTGTTTGAGTCATAACCTATGATTGGTGTCCTTGCCTGTGAAAGGGGCACAGAGTGTTTTATCTCTAGAAGAGAGTAGAAATTATTTAAAACTTAATCAATTCAGATCCATCCCACTGTTTCTGGTTAGTCCTACAATTTTGAATAGAAATTAATTAAATTACATTACTAACTGTTGTGCTAACTAGGATTGCTAACATATCCATAATATCTTTGGGTCAAAAATGGTATTGGAAGACATGTGTGAACAAAATTAAATAAAGCAAAACTCAAAAGATGACAAGACAACTGCATACTGCTTAGTTCCAAAGTTGAAAATATCAAGTCTGAGATAACATTTTTAAGAGAAATGGGAAACTATTTAAACATTTTTATATGGATAAGTTTTAAAGAAAAATATCAGGCCCAGAATTTAGAAACATACATCACTGCATCTGTTGAGTATAGTACCAGTGTGTGGATTTATCATTTATTTACTTAAATAATTTGTATGGTTGCCATCTCACAACAGTGACTTTGGGCAGTGTACAAAGATTAAAGACTCAACAACTGCAGAGAACTAAAGTTCATAGGGTTAATAAGCAGCTTAGACAAAGCTGTAGTGTTGAAATGAAAAAGTTGCAGCAGCCAGTCAAGCCTTTGTCTACTTGGGGTTATACGAAATTGAAAATTTTAAGTATGCTGCCCTAACTTAAGATATGGTGAACCACAATGTAAAAAAAAAGCTGTAGATTTTGTACCTTTGCCCTAAGAAAGCTTTGTTTTATATTCTGTTTTATCTTATTCATTATTTTATAGTTCATGAGGTAAACTATTACAGTATTTTCTCAGACAGATGGGCATCTGGACATTTATGTAACAGTTCAGGATTGTATTATTGTTTTGGAATTGTTTTGTCACCAAAATGACAAAAATATATACTCTGATATATATTGCATTGCATTTATTATATGAGTGGTTAATAGCACCACACAACATAACAGATTTCAGAACAATCATACTATATTTACTTCCTTGAAAGATTGGCCTCTTAAAAACAAAGGAGTCTTTACAGCTTTAAAAAGGAGCCAATATTGTACAACTTCCTTGTGAACACCTGACTAACAGATGCTTCCATGTGCAAACCTTTAAGGAAACTGAAGCTCTGATTTTGCAGAGCACCAGCTTAGGTAGAAGCCTATATGATCTCATATTACTGCTCACTATTACTGCCCCCTTTTGAGGCATGCCCTTACTTCCTGTTAAAATCTAAGAATGAATGAGGTCACTGTAAAGCATTGTTTTTTCTTTTTTTTGCCAAAGTTGTTTTAATTGGTTAGGCCAATACAAAACTCATCTGGAAGCTCTAAAATTGGAAACTGATTTTGTAGAGATTGTTATATCAGAAGCGTATTTTGTTTAAGAAGCCTTAAGATATAGCAAGTTACAAGGCCTTTTGTTTGGGACCACGCACATGGCAAGGGATGTTATATGCTACTTCCTGGCACAAATAGGAGTTGCAAACTATGATTTTTGTTCTGATTATTCCTTCCTTTCCTAGCATGTACACACTTATACACGCATACCTGGGTAATGCTCACACATGGGAGAAATAATTTTATTCTTACTGGAAAAAGAGTCAAAGATATAATTATTTTATTACATCTGAAGGTGAAAATGGAATAGAAACCAAAAGCAAAAGTTGAAGGGAGTTATACTTTTATTTTCTTGGATTAAATTCCAGCGAATTCAATGAGAAGGCAAAAAAGACATTACACTAAAAGAAATATTGTGCATAAGTCCTTCAGGTTTTCTTTACTCTGACATAAATGTACAATTGCCCAATCCAGATTAGGATTAACACACATGGGGATGAAGAAGACTAATCTTTCATTGTAGCCTCCCTTTTTTAGAAAAAATCCCCTCCCACAGAGCCTTCTTTGACTACTAAATAAAGTACATAGGAGTACACTGCATTTAATTTAAACTTTTCAGCTGATTATGGATGTACCGATTCACCATCCCAAAATGGAAATGAACCTTTAAGAATAACCACCACCACCACTACCACCACCCCATTTTTCAGTACCAGCTTACATATGAACAGTTTCCTATCTTATATTGTTCAAACAGTTTAGATTGTATAGCTTCACAATTGAGATTAATACTGTCTCAGAAGAAGCTATCAAAAAGAAATGTATGACAATCATTTACACACTAACTCAATATAATAAAGCTAAAAAGTAGTAGGTATAGGAAGGTATAAGACTGAGGATCTGGGAAACAATACCTTAAAACAAATATACTTTGGATTATTAATTATTGTCTTTCAATGTTATGTTCAAGTTTAGAGACTTTTAGAGTGTGTAAATTGGTCCATAGTGTAAATATTGCAGATATGGAATATATCTGAACATAGTGATGTACAAGAATCAGGATTGTAAAGAAGTGAACAGAGATGCCTCTAAATAATGTGACTGAGAAATTCTAGGACCAATCTAAATTATACTTAAGTGATGTAAAGTAAGCTAGTTGAAGTGCTAGCTATTCATAGACAGTCTTGCATGTAGCTTTTTTACCCAGTGGGATCATTAAAAACAGGTAGTTACTATTGTAAAGTTCTATCACATTATTTTACTCAATATTTAAACTTAGCAAATTATAAACAAGTAAAAGGGGAAAGAAATCTACATAAATTACTATTTGTAAGCTTTCAAGAGACAACCTCTGGTTGTTGTTGAATTAAAACAAACACTAGACACATAAATCATTACCACTGCATGAACAAGCTATCCGAATTTTAGCTAAGTGTACACCCTTCTCTTCTTTTAATGTTCTTCTGCACAGTGATTTCCTATCTTTTTCCATTCAGTCTAAACTGGCAAACAATGGGTTTTCCCTCTGAAGAATTAAAAATCGCGATTTGACAACAACAATAGCAAGAGTCAATATGTAAACCTGAACTCATTCACATAATGCCAATATATAATTCGATGTTATATTTGAATCATCTTACTTTTCCTACCCTCCTATTCTTGCTGCATGTTTTGCAGGGATAACTTGGGCTTCAAAGAATAGTCATCAGGCACGAGGCCCTGTCCACCTCACAATGCATCCCAGCTGCTCACTGGTGAACTAATAAGTAGCAAACTATAGCCACAAATGCACAGAAGCC